GGGAAGGAAGGAAGGAAGGAAGGAAGGAAGGAAGGAAGGAAGGAAGGAAGGAAGGAAGGAAGGAAGGAAGACAGGTAGTCCAAATTTCTACATGCTGGTCTTTTGCTAAATTTTGTACATGTGATTTATTGAATACTGAACATCAGTTAATAAGGCAAACTTTGCAAGCACTTCTATGGCTTATTCAATCAAGTGAATAATCTGTGTAGCATCTGAAGTGGTATGGCCTAGAAACAGAATGTTTCCCCACTTGAATATAACCTTGGTTCAAATAGTCTCTAGCAACATGTTTGCCTTGTCACTGACATTGCCTTCATTTCATCCCTGGCCATGAGTGAGACAGGCTTAAGATGTCTGCAACTATACCAGTGTTAAAGTAGTATCCAACAAGAACCACAAGCCATATAAAATCTGATATGCTTTGCAACTGCAGTCAGAGATGAAGTCAAATGACCAGCAGAGGATGGGACTGGAGAAGTGCTTATTGGCCACTTCAGGCTAATGCTGTTTGCCCTCTTCCCTCCAGTTCTTGGTCAGCCTTATCTGCCACCATTTTGCTGTTGTCTCCCTGAATGCAACAGCACTTGAAACTTTAAAAAAAGGAATGTGCTTGTAACAGTCCCTCATATCAATGTCACTTCAAGTTTGGACTATCCTAAAGACCACTTGGAAATAAACTTTTGTCCCAACAATTACGATTCCAAGATAATGGCCACTCAATATTGTTCTGGGCCATTCTGACGATTTCAGATCTTTTTAGATATTGGAATTCTGTGAGGACAGGGCATGGAGGAAACCTTCAGTCATCCAGTATTAGCTATTTCTGACCAATAGTGAAAACAGAGGACTGCCAGCCAGTCAGAGCTCTGTTATTAGCCAGTGCATAACTGTACTGTCCTGCCTTCCCCAGGTTCATGCCTACATCTTTTTCTTCTCTTCAAAAAATTAAAAGGAAATAAATGTGTTCTGTTCAACCATGATTCCACTCAGCTACCTTGTTAACATTTGGACCTCTACATGTTTTGTATACAAATCCCACATTACCCATCCATGGATAGATGTTTCTACTTTAGCTTACTAATATGGTTTCTTCTACTCTAATACCTGATTTTGATCAAACTTTCACTTTGTGAAGATTTGCTATGATTCATACATTCATTGCATGTATGGTTTGCTGAAGTTTTAATTAATTAACAGCCCCATCAGAACATATTAATTGGGAAGTAAACTGCACTAAATTTAGTACAATTTATTTCAAAGTAAATGTATCTAAGATACAGCCTAACACTGAAGTTCTATATGTGTCTACTTAGGAGTAAATAAATACAAGATTGTAGATAGTAAGCAATCGTTATAAATTAGGACCACTTTAAAATATTTCAAAATGTGATTCTATATGGCCAGAAGAACCCTATTTACAGGGATATGCCTGAGGTTGCATGTCCTTGAGCTGGCAGCAGTAGCCTCAGAGAATGAGTCATACTGTCAATTATACTGTTGTTGTTATTTGATTATTGTTCTTTTCAAGGGACCCCGAGCAGTATACAATGATTAAAGTATATGATCTGATTACTTATATTGCTTTTGTCCAAGAGTGTTGCATTCAGAATTGCTAGTACTCTTCTGATCTAAGAGTACTTCCTAAAAAGATCTTTCTTCCCCTGTGAATGTGCACTGAAATACAACATATTGTGGCTGTGAATTGTAGAAAAAGCTTATTTCAACAGTGTAAGTTGTCTTCCAAGGATGCTTCTTCACCTTTACTGATAGTTTCATTAGAAGCTCTTGAACATCTAAAAAGTCCAGGAGGATTGTAAAACAGTCTCTACATATTTATTGGTATTTACATGGTATATTGGTATTTATAATGTGAGAAGTAAGGATTTTGCTATTTTTTTAGTGGGATTTAATTTTTTAGTACAAAGATAGACATATCTGGATCCTGAAGTTCCAGATTTTATAGCCAAAAGAATTAAGATTTGTTGCCATCTAGTGGTCATCCGGCTTTTTGCAACTCATATCTGGTATGTGCACTCAAGGGCATATACAGTTAGCAATAGCAGTGATTACTTTCAACAATTTTTGCTGCTATCATATACAACAACAGTAGCACAACAGAGGTTTTCCTCCTGTCATCTAGACCACTATTTTGTTTCCCTCCACTATACCTCTAGGAGCAAGGAAACGTTTAATTAGTGCTTTGTAGAGAAAATGGCAGACATTCACTACATCTTTCCTACAATGCACTGGATGGTGGCTCTAGAATATAAAGGTGTGATTTTTGTTTATAGAAAATTCTCTTCAGTTTGTCCATGTAGCAGCAAGTATAAACATGTAGATATGCAGTGCACTCATATGTATGTCTAATAATTCCCTTGAATATAGTGGGATGTACTGCTAGATTAGTGAATATAGGATTGTGCTTTAAATTATTTTTGTTCAATTTTTAATGTATTATTTGCTTTTTTTCCCCAACAGTTTATTGTTGTGCATCATTCCCTTCACGTTCCAAGCCCATCTGAAACAGTTTGCCTCTTCCTCTGGTCTCCATCTTTCTGAAACCTGTTGCCTCTGCTGCCTTACCTGTCTTTATGTTGCCTTTTTCCTTCTTCACATGGAAAAAAGTTTTTCTTGCATGAATGACATCTTTAGATATCTCTTTCTTTTCATACATGTTGTTATTTTGCAGTGACAAATGTTTTCAGCTACAGTTCATATATGTTTATGAGATAAATTCTGTCCAGAAATTAGTGTATGAAGTTCAGTATTATGTTGATTTAAAATGATTATTTGCATGCTTTTTTGACTATTTAGATGGAGGAGATTTTCACTTTGTTGTTGTTGTTGAAAACCATATTATTTTGCTATTTTTCTTATCCTTTCCTTTTCAAGTATACAT